TGTCCTTCGGGGTGTCCGAGCTGCTCAAGGCGCCCGTGGACGGCTGGTGAGGGCCCGGGTGGGCGGCGGGCGCGTCCATCTCCCTCTGTGTGTGGGCTCCCTCCCGGCCCCTCTCCCCTTATCTCACCCTTTCCCTCCATCGCTCTGATGTCAGGTACAAGTTACTGAACCAGGAGGAGGGCGAATATTACAATGTGCCCGTGGCCGATGCTGACAACTGCAGCCTCCTCCAGAAGTTTGAGGTACCCAGCCCAGCCCGCGCCCCCCAACCTCCGCTCCCCACTACATGCCCAAACACCTACTGGTCCTGGGACTACAATTCCCCGAAGGCCCTGGGGCTCCTTCTTTGGCTTTTCTAAGGGGCTCCTGCCTCAAGGTCTGATGGGAATTGGAGTTCTTATTCATCCCTGCAGCTTGGGAGTTTGGGGGGGGGGCGGTGTCCCCCACCTCCTACTTCCCTGGGGCTCTGACTCTGTTTCTCCCTCCCTCCAGGCCTGTAACTACCCCCTGGAACTCTATGAGGTGAGTGGCGCTGAGACCTGGAATGGAGACAGTTTCATTCCTGGGATCTGTGTGTGTGTGTCTCTCTCTCCCCTAATAACTGTCTTCATTTCCGCACACATGGGCCGAACATATACCTGGTGGCGGGTTATGCTTGCTGAGTAGTCCTAGGTGAACCTGACTCTCAGGTAACTCCCCGAGGTAGGGACACAGTCACAGGTATGATAACTTTCCCAGGGTGATGTGTTAAATTGGAGTCCAGGGCACTAAAGCGGCACAGACTAACCCAGTTTTGGGGGGAAGGTAATCAGAGAGGACTTCCCGGAGGAGGCACCACCAGACTTGATCCTGGAGTTTTTCTATCTATTTATCAGGGTGGCCTCGCTCTCCTCCATTTGTTTACTCACTCACTGAGCACCTGTTTCCAGAAGTGTTAGATATGCCAAGCCCTGTGCGGGCATCTCCCCTTTCAGTGTCGGTGAAAGCTACCGACAGAGAAATTCACCCACAGAAGGAATATGTTTGATGATGGAGGGCCTGGGGCACGGGGCACCAGGGAGGTCCCGGAGGTACCTGGCCCTGCCTGGGAGACTCAGAGAAAGCTTCCCAGAGAGGTGGGGCCTGGAGGACGTGCAGGGTTCCCCAGCAAAGGAGAGGGACCCCGGGCCAAAGAAGGAATACTTTCTCCCTCATTTATCCGTTCATAAAACATTTTGTTGAGCCCCTCTGTGGGTAAGGCAGGGCCCTCGTCACCGGGGATAGAGCGGGGGAACAAGAGAGGAAAAACATTCCTTT